TGTTAGTTGGGGAGGATATCCTTTAGGCTACTCTTTGGAAGCCCGCGACCTTACCTTGGCCGCCTGCGCCCATGAGGGGGTTTTGGACGCAGTAGTCTTGCAATCCTTTGAAGCAGATGCCGACCGCTTCCTTGCTGGCTTCGGGGTAATTTACTAAAAAAAAGAGAAGACAAAAAATAAGATGTGTTGTCCGAGTGAAATTGGAAAGTATAACCTTCCCAACATACCAGTTCGGAAAATAAAAACAATTAACTTATCCATCCTATCTGAGCGAAATTGGAAAGTACAACCTTCCCAACATACTGGCTCGTCAAAATTGGAAAAGACCATTTTGTCCGGGGGAAAGTTGGAAGGATGCCTTTCCTTACATTGCAGGTCGGACGCAAAAAAAAAAAAAGGAGGATACGTATCCCCTTAGCCGGTAGCGCTCAAGTTTGAAGTCGAACATGTCCGTCTCCCCTTTCTACTTTGGGTCAAGTTGAGACATGGCTTCGTTTGACAAGAAAAAGAACCAAGAGTTAGATTATATTTCAACTAAAAACTATTAGGACGGTTAAGTCACGAAATTCCACCTTGGGGATAGTTCTAGAGCAGGCCGCATGCCGACATAAAAATCGGATCCCTGAGCCAATTCGTTAGTGGGATCCAGTTGGAGACCATAGACACTTGCTTCCCCTTTCTAAACACTTTCTTGACCTTAAAATAGTTAAGTTGATGAGCATGGTCCGGATGAACAGGTGGCCTAGTCGGCCGGTTATCCCCTCGTCCAAGCTGAACAGGCTCGGCATTAAGCTTGTTCATCCGCATGTTGAACTCCTTGTTCCTAGTCATGATGAGATAGAAGCGGTGCCTCCAGTCACGCCATTTGGACGGCTTGTGCAGGACTGCTAAGTAGTCAAGCCGGGCATTCAAGATAAACAAGTCGTCCGTCTGTGCGTTCATCCGCACCATATTGTGCATCTCTTAGAAGACCGGGAAGTTGGGGGTGAAGCCATTCCTAAGGCAAGTCACCAAGTACCTAAAGATGTTGGCCCAACTGTTCGGCACCAACTGGAACAATGTAATGTTGAATTCGTCCAGCAACCCCTGGACGAATGGATGAAGGGGAAAGCGGAGGCCCACCTCCAAGGCGACCCGATATACATTAAAGCTCCTGCTCTGAGCCCCTTCATCGTCTGTGGCTGCCACCAAATAAGAATGCCTCGGTGGAATTTTTTATGAAGGAAGACGAGGGCTAAATCTTCCCCGTCCGCCTGCCTAGCGTTCGGGTTTTCTGCCTCCCGCTCGGCAGCTTGTGGTTCGGGGTTCCTGTCCAAACCGAAGTTAAAAGACAGCACTTTGTCTAATTTAGCAGCCTCGGCCGAGCTACCACCCCTAGAGCCTTGACTCGGCTCGGTAAACATAAAGGGCCTCTTGCCCCTATCCTTTTTTCCTTCCTCAGCGTCCGCCCGATTTTCAGAAGGAGGAACGCTGCGAGGAGGCAGGTCGGACGGTTCAGAGATGTGGATCCCAGTCCGTGATCTGGCCGACCTAGTATGTTGTGGATTTAAGTCGGACGCTCTTCCTCGGCCTAACTCAGCGTCCACCCGAATTGAAGAAGGAGGCCTCTCAAAAGAAAGCAGCTCGGACGACATCAAGACCGAGCTGGTATATAGTGAAGGGGGTTATTCTGGATTTTGGTCGGACGCCCAAGCATCAGTTTCCCTTGTCTCCTTGGTTGAAGACTGGGAAGGAGGGTTTTGTTATGTGTTCTGTCCGGACGAAGTGGCAATAACTTCCACCACCGAACACGCGCTACCACTGAATGTAGTGTTCGTGTCATCTATGATCGTGTCATTTGTATTTAAAGGAGCTAAACGATTGACTCTTCGGCCGCCTCTATTTCTCGCTGCCTCTCGGTCATAGGTACCGTGCGTACGCGCCATGTTCGACTGCAGGGACAGACAAGAATAGGAGGGGGTGAGTTGGTACGCACTAGAAATGGACCCACACCAAAGAGAGGAGGAATCGGCTCTGTCCACTCTAGACTCCTCAGTCCTAGGAGAACGACTGACCTCATAAGGAGATGCGGACAAATCCGAGTGTTGTGCCAGTTCGTGTTTAAAAATAAACAAGTATGAAAAGAAAAGAATATTTATTAAGGAGGAAGTAGGCGGTTACCTCTGTACAAGTAGAAAACTTGAAGGACTTTGAAGATCCTGACAAGTTGACCGGCAAACTCAAAAACTCGAAGGGAAAACTCAAGTACACGGTGGAGCTCTCAAAGATTAAGGAAGGACATCACTTTCTGTCTCTAAAAAGCTCTGACTTATCTCAAGAAAACACAAAATCCAAAGTGTTTGTATGAAGTCAAATGAGTTCTATTTATAGGCAAAATTTATGGGAGAAAAATGGTAAAATAATTACCTTTCCTGCCTAGAAGCTCAGACGACACTTTTTGAAAAACCTAACCTAGAAGCTCAAATGGTTAAAAAAAACCGCTCCGCCAATAAAGACGGGAAGATGTATAGTTATCTAAACGGCACGTCAAAATAGACGGCTAGGTCAGCAAACTCCAAAACCGTTACTCCAAAAAATGCGGAGGACAGGTGTCCCACCTAATTATAGCACCCTCGTCCGTCTGATTTCAAGACTTAGGTCCAAAGATGAAATCAGGTGGACGGCTCAAGGCAATTAGCCCAAAGGATCTTTCCCAAAACCAGGAGGACGGTTTAGTCTGCCCCTTTCAATAAAATTTCTCAAATTGTCCGATACTCGAACATTCTTGGACAAATGAAAATCAGAGGAGGCAGCCCATATGGTATGAGCCACCCCCTCTGAGGGGCAAATGTTTAGGGTAAAAAACACCCAATCACGTGGTCCAATCCCATAGTGAGACGTGGCCCAATAAAAGGGCGACACGTGTCCCTACAGGAAGATGACACGTGGCCAACAAAAGAGCACTTGAATGAGAAAAGGCCGCTTTACATCAGGATTCCCAAATCCCGAGAAAGGCGCCATAACGGCGCTTCCAAAGGACACGTGTCTTGCACTGATTACGCCGCTAATCAGGTTGCACCTTTTTAGGGCACCAACCTTAGAGTACACACATTCCAACCCCTATAAGTACCCCAATTATTTATGATGGGAGGGGTGGATAAAGACATATCATTTATTGCATAAGCAAATTACTCTAACTTCTCTCTACTAGAATCTCTCTAAAATACTTTCGTTTTTCGATCACTAACTTGATCGTCGAAGGCGAATATCCGTCAAATGGAATAATCATTGTTTTACAGGTGTCTGCGGCTGTCCGACTATATTCAAGACATGTATCCCGAGGGATTCCAAAAAAACCTCGAATCACACAGGGTCTAGGCAAGGTCTTAAACTCATTACCATTCCAAAACACGATAAATAAATAAACAATTTAAAAAGTGTAATTATCCAAACACTTTATTGTTTTTTTTTTTGTTTTGGTGAAGGAGAGGGGCAATCCCCTAAAACAAAACAAATAAACACAAAGCAGCAAAAATAAAAACTACTGCCATCAAAGGCTTATTCCAAACAAACACCTAAGACCACTAACTAGTAACTAGTCGATGCCAAGCAACGCCACTCAAGTCCTCCAATAAAACGTCCAGAAGATCTGCAGGGAACGCCTCTAAGAGAACAAGCTTTTGATCCGTGTTCACCCCATAGTTTGCTAACTAATCAGCCACTCGGTTAGCCTCCCTATAACAATGAGAAGTAGTAACCATCCAACCCCTTCGAGCGATGAGACTTTTACACTTCCGGATTATATGAATATGTGGAGGGTTGGCAAGCTCTTCCTCAGCCAACAAGCAAACAACAACCTCAGAATCCACCTCGAGATGCACCATCTTGTGTCCTCTATCGCAAGCCACAAGCAGCCCTCTCATAACTCCCAACAACTCAGCTCTAGTGTTCGTGCATTTGCCACAATTGGAAGCAAATACTTCATGAATCTCACCATTGCTTCCCCTGATTATTCCTCCTGCACCAGTAAGCCCCGGATTCCCTTTCGCCGCACCATCCGTATTTAGCTTAACCCACCCAACATTCGGGCTTCTCCATCTAATGTACACTTAATGCTTCTGCTTTCTACCTTGGCCACGCACTTCCTCATCTCTATCACAGGCCCTTTGAATATCTCCTACTCGTGCAAAAATGAAGCTAACTTGGTCTATAGGAATACTCGGGTTTGTATAGAAAACTCTCTCATTCCGCCACCTCCACAACCACCAGCAAGCTACAACAAATACCCTTGGCCACGCATCTCCTAAGACAAGTTGGTGTTCATCAACATGAAAAAGCACCCAATCACTAAATGGCAACGATCTAATCACTTAGTGAGCTCCCAATCCCAACTTACTCCATACCACACGCGCAGCAGGGCAATATCTCAGTAAATATTCAACACTCTCTTCATTATCACCACAAATAGGACACCTTGGATCATAGGTAAGAGTGCGGATGAACCTGTTCCTATTGGTCATTAACCTCTCTTGCAATGCTAGCCAAAAAAAGAAGCGGATCCGTTGAAGCACAAACATCTTCCATATGACTTTCCACCCCCTAATTTCCTCGATAGCAGCTCCCTCACTAGTGCAGATAATATCAATAGATGATTGGATTTTAAAGCCCCCAGATGGAGCTCCATTCCAATACACATCGTCAACAACATCATCATCTTTAATAACCTGATGAGCAGCGATCTCACTTAAAACACTTGCAGGCAAGTACTTAGCAAAGTCTTCAAACTTCCACCCTATATTTGTATCCCAAATCTCCTGAACAGTCATATCCTGGACATCAATTGGTGGTTCCACACTTCATATTCAATCAATGTTTTCTCCATTGCCCATCTGTGATGCCAGAAGAAGGGTCTTGTCCCATTACCTATGGCCATGTTAACTCCTTTGCCTACCACATCCACGCTACGCATAATTCCTCTCCATGTACTAGACACATTCAATTTATCTAAGTCACATCTATTATCACAATGTTTGGCACGAAGGACCCTCGACCACAAAGCTTGAGGTTCAGCAATCAACCGCCAGCCTACCTTTGCTAAAAAGGCCTTTCCAAATACTATTTATAAAATACTTGTATTATCTTAAGAGATTTTTTTTACCTTTTTTTTTAAGTTCTTATATGTCCGAAAATCACTTTCTTTCTCTCTCTTAAAAATTCTCCCTCCTTCTTCCTCCTTTTTGGTACCCACTGCATTAAAGCGAGTGACACAACCAACAGAATAAACAAAAAAGAAAAAAAAAAAAAAAGAAAGAAAAAAAAAAGGTGATTGCATAACAAAAAGTGAGAAAGGAAGAGCGAGCTCTGTACCATTTCTTGCTGACTCCCTGAGTCAACTCGTCTTCCAACTCTCTCAACTCACTCACTTTCTTCTTTCAAACCCTCAATTTGTTGCACCCCATTTTTCTGCAAATTCATAGATTAATGAAGAACAAAAACCAGCTTAATAATTATGTAAGTTTCTCCCTTTTCCACCAACCCTAAATGACTTGGGTTTGAATGTTTTGAGCTGATTTCAATTTAATTAATTTTTTTTGTTAGTTTTGCTAGATTTTATATGATGGGGTTTTGTATTTGATGTAATTTAAGAAATTTGTGTTATTTTTGGGTAATTATTGAGGGTTTTTTAGTTGAAATGATTGCAATTGAGTGTGTTACTTTATGTGCTCTTAAATTTCTATAATGGGTGTTTAATTAGTTGATTAATTGTGTCTGAACTAGCTTGTAATTGATATTTTTTATCATGATTATGTTTTTTGCTTCTTGAATGTCTTTTTCACTTGATGTTTTGTAAAACATGCAATGATACCCTTGCTGATATTGAGATCATATCTTTCTTACTTCACTGGTCGAATTGTATTCCGAGGTATGTTTTAGCTTTGTTGCTTGTTAAGTGTAATACTGTGTAGATTTCGAGTTTGGTAAACTCGAGTTTAGTGAGATCTGGGTTGTTTTGTGAGATATATACTTATTGAAAACCACTCTCGAATGCCCTTTAAGTTGCTGTGTTCTTTGATTTGTATTAATGCGTCTGGTTGCACTATTTAGGCTTCGATTATGATATCTACTATACATACTTTCATACAAACATGTTGTCAATGCATGTTAAGAATTCTTTCATAACCAATGGAAAGAATGTTCACAATTAGGCTGTCTAAGTTGACCCACCCTTACCCGAGATCCTCATTAGAGGCATTGGAATGACATTGATGTTGTATATTTTCACTTTTTTCCAGTACATTTTAGAATATAAGCTCTTCACGGCTTGTGGCTGTATCTTCTGCTGATAAAGTTGACATTATGTGTCCTGCATTGCTGATAATTAGTAAGGGATTGTTGCACTTAATATAAACAGTGGGTGACAGAGCTAGACGATTCTTGGGGAAGATATGTGAACCACAGAAACATGGAATGGAGCTAAGAGGATTTTTTTTTCTGAATTTATACTATATTAGTTAATCGCCGCCATAAGGGATGATAGAAAAAGCAGTGGTCAGAATTCAGACAGAAAATACTACTGCTGAAAACGATATGCTGTCATCATAGCTTTTGACTTGGTTGGGGGTTGAAACATTCAATAAAAACTACGATCAGCATGTCATATCCTGGGTCACAACATCAATTTGGACTCAGTGACTTGCAACTTCTACAGCAGCAGCTTATGCTTGCAAGGTTACAAGAACTTCAGAAGCAGCAGCAATTTGGACAGTTGGGTGATGGAAAGCCATCAAGTTCTTCGAATATGCCTCTGTATGCTAAACACACTGCAGGTGGTCAAATCCCTAGTGGAGTAGCTTTTAATGCATCAAATATGGTTGCTTCCAGTAATCTGAACTGGATGCATCACAATGGGTCTTCATCCATGCAAGGAATAAACAGAGGTTCTGCCTATTCCCATGGTGAAGGACTAATGATGAATTCTGCTTTGCAACAGCCTGATCATTCTTATTACGGAACACCTATATCCAGTGGGCGAGACAATTTGGGACATTACTCTTCTCTGCAAGGAGTACCTTATAGCTCTGTCTATACGCTGTCTGTTAATTCAAATGAGAAGCTCGTCTCACCATCATCAGCATTTTCTAATCTGTTCATGGGTGATAAGTCTTCTGCTTCTCCAGGTCAAGGTCATTCCATAGATGAGTCTTTTATGCTAAGGCAAGGGGTGCAGGAAAAAGGTTTAGCTGGTCAAGCGTCTGCTCAAATGGTAAGTAGTGGAATGTCTTTGAAAAATTTCCCGCCGGTAAAGGTAAATGCCTCACCGAAAGCATACGACAGAGCAGATGGACAACTTAATGTTTCTAGATTCTTGCATGAACAAACCAAACAAACTAATGATTCTGAAGGTACGGCTACATTGGATCCTCTAGAAGAGAAGATCTTGTTTGATACAGAAGACAACGGTTGGGACACTTCTTTCAGCAAGCTTGCTTCCATAGACTCTACTGACCTTATGGATGCTTCGAGTCATAAAAACTATATGGATTCATATTCTTCTATTCATAGTGGAAGCTGGAGTGCTCTTATGCAGTCTGCTGTTGCCGAGGCTTCTAGCAGTGACACTGGTATCCAAGAAGAGTTGAGTGGTTTAAGTTTCCAGAATTCTGATTCATGCATTAGAAAGCAACCTACAAATCTCACGTCAAATGATCAGCAGCATGGTAGATGGATAGATAGTGAATTGAAGAGCTCTTCAAATAATCCGAGAGCTCCCCTGTCATCTGTTGATTCAGTGGTAAGCTCTGTATTCCCTGTTTTTGAAGAGACTAGTTCATATTTGGATTTTTTTTTTTTTTTTTTTGGTTTTTTGTCCCCGTAAATATGTATTAAACAGCAATCTGAGCATCTTCTTGGTTGTCGACTGTCAACAGCTTATAAACGGGTCTGTTCCAGCCGAACACCCACTAAATCATTGGACTGTCATGATCGACAAGAATTCTAGAGGTAATGCACAGTCATTTATCATCTTCTAGCGCTAAAATCACTGGCCTGCTGATGTAACAAAGACTTTCTGCAAGAATGCAGATCTTTCTCAGGGGAGTAGGACTTCTGCTCTTTCAATGTCAGGAATGATCAGGAATGATTTTGATAGTCATAGTTACGTGCCTGTCAACAATGATACTGATCAGAAAGACTACATAAACATGGGACATGACCACCAATCAAGTAGTAACCCCATGGCTGTTAATGCGCTTTATAAAAAAGCAGCTGAAATATATGGAAATCAGAACCACTACAGAAGAGAAAATTCAAGTGACAGCTACAATTCAAAAGTTTCTCAAGCTTATGTAGCTCAAGCAGATCATACATGCTTAAATGCAGAAGACTCAGAATCTTCTGCAAGGAGCAGCCACAAGTCACAAAACCAGGTTGGATGACATTCTTTATTGAGTGGAGCTTCTTGTTCGTGTTGAGGTGAAGTTTGTAATCAATGACGAACTGTAAGATTTACCAGCATAAATGCTATGTGCAGGTCCTATGCATATCCTCACCTGGAGCTAACAGTCAGCAAGAGTGTTTCAGCCACTTAAAGTCCAATGATGTTTTTCCCGCAGATACTGATGAAACAATGATGAGGGTAATCTGTTACTTGACCTTAGATGAGATCACTTATCCCTTAAGTGCATGTTATGGCTAATTTATATTCCTTATGGGCATTGAACATCATTTCAGGGGAAGCCAAATATGTCAGGTGATGCATTTTCAAGAGGCAGTCCAGCATCTGACATATCTGCTTCATTTGACTGGTCAGTTATTGATACTACCCTCAGAATTACATGCCAACTAACGTTATTGAAGTTTGGCTGAAGTTGAATTTGTCCAGTGTTTTTTAACTATCCTATTAGAGCTGTTCTATATAGTGCATTTGCAGTTCACTTTCCCCACTGTATTTACTATCCTTATAGTCTAAGTTTAGCTAATCAATGCAAATGCTTATGCTTTAACTTTTTGCTGTTCTTTTATGTGCAAACCCTTGTCTATAACTATATCTAAAGTAAAAACTGCTTACATCATCTTTGTACACGGTATTTTCTGCCAAAATTTCTTATGACATCATCTTTTTTTCTTTCTTAGTTTTTGTCTTTCCAATTTCCAAGATTGGGTAAATAGTTCTTTAAAATAAATAAAAGTGTGAATATCAATTAACCAAAACCACATTAAATGACATATTTCTTTCCCAAAAACCCTCGTTTATGTGAGTTATGTAATTTGTTGCAAGATCAATTAGTTTATAATATTTTTATTATAAAAATTTGAATTATTCTGAATTTTCCTTCGTACGGGTACTTATCTAGTTAATAATTAATTTGGTGTCGGTTTTCTTTGTGAAGACTTGTCTATTTCACCTATCACATAGTCTTTTGAGCATATTATAACTGGCTAAAATGTGTACAGTCAAAATACATCTGAGCCAAAACTTTCAGTTTCTCATGGGGGCCATGGGGCTGCCAATCCAGAAAGATTTTCCTTTCAAAGCTCTGTACCAGGAGATTCAAGGCTTGCTAGTTTGGGAAATGATCAAAAAGGTCAAACTTGGTGGACACCGTCTTCTTTTGGGAATTCTTTCTCTCCATTGCAAGGAACTTCTCTTTCACAAGGTTGCAGTGGCAAGTCTCACATTTTTGATAACACTGCAATTGTATCCTCAAACTTAAAAAGTAAGAGAAACTCACTTTGAAGGTTTAATTTCAGGTCATCTTCATGTGGACAGCCAGCTTGATGGAAAACACATATCTAATGTGTCTGACACATCTGAATCTATTCGAAGGAAATTTCCTGGGATGAATCAACAAATATCCTCATCTGGTTTTTCCACTACTCAAGATGGTTATCCACTAAAGAATATCAGTTCTTTTGGCCATGAATATACCATCGCAAGAGCTTTGCCAGTCACACAGTCGTCAGTTATACAAGGTATGTACTGTCCAGGTGAGAAGCCACTTGATGTATGGAGGGATGTGCCAAGTCAGAAGAACATGATAGGTAATGCTTGCAGGGTTTTTTGTAATGTACATTCTTCCCCTATCCTATATATGGCTAGTTGTGTAACCAATTTTGCTTCTTATCTACCAGATCTTTCATCATTGGCCGGTCTACCTTCCAGGATGGGCAAAGACAGTCGTGATGAGCAAAATACATCAAATATTCAGACTGTTGATCTCCATAAAGGTCATGAATCTTCAGACAAATACCTCACCATCTCCGCTGATGCATCGGCTTCTGCTGGGAGTTATCAGCGGGGCTATGTTAATAGTAGGTTTGCTCAATCCTCTGCGACAACCTTAAGAGCACTTTCCACCTATGGCCAATCCCAGCTATTACATAATGCAGGTAACTTCAACCAGCTAGAAGACATTGGTGATACTTATTTGAATAAGGTGGACTATAATCCATCTGCTATATATAACCTAAACAAGCAGTGGATTCCTGAATTCTCAGGGCTGCAATCACTGCATGAAAGGCATGAACTGGCCAAAAATACTGCTGGCAGTCGATTTGATTCATGCTCATCTGGCAACACCTTCATCCCTTCTTTGTCACCAGGGCTAAGCAGCAGCATGATGGAGATATCTTCAGGAACTTCAGCTTTGCAACATATAAATCCTGATAAGGTGCCAATCTTTGCCCAGGGTTACTCTAACGGTAACATTATCCTGTCTGATAGAATTAACCATATGCAGATTGAATACATGAAAAATAGGCAGATATTATCTCTGTGTGATTCTTCCGCTCAAACTGCCAATATGGCATCTGAGAATGTACAGTTAAGTGGTACTATCACAGATCTTAACGGAATTCCAGCCAGCAGAAAATTTGGTATTCTGCCAAGTCTGGCTAACCAGATGGTCACCTGTGAACAATCACTGCCATCATCTGTGCGTCATTTGGATGCTACTATAAACCTGGGTGTTAGTAGAATAAAGAAGCGTAAAACTGCAATGTATGAATGCCTTCCCTGGCACAAGGAGGTGATGAAAACTTGTCAGGTGCTTCCAGACATCAGGTGATTGACCTCATCTAACACTTAGTACCTCTGTCCTTACAAATCATATTTCCTTTAAGATAGCTATTGGTTCTGAATGAAAAGACATTGACTAGCTTGAAAAATTAAAAAGGGGAATAGAACTTTCAATGGGGAGAAGTTTGTAACTATACATTAGTTGCGACTAAACTTCATAATGAGTTTGGCTGGGAATCTTTAGTTGTGGGCACATTCAGCCAGACACTTCTGCCCATGGATATGCTAACCATGTGGTACAGTTCTAGGTAATAATATTTAGAAAGTAGTTCTGTCATGTCTACCTAGTGCCTTGTATATGGAAGTGATATTTTGGAGTTTTGAGCAATCTTGAATAGTGGTAATGCATCTCATTTTACTATTTCTTACGATTGAAATTTAAAGTAGCAATAGAACAGCATTTAAGAGACTATTATATCATTCTCATTTTTCTGTCTCTAATACATTAGCTGTTCTGTTTCACAGTAATGCTGATCAAGAGTGGGCAGAGGTTACAAATCGACTGATGGAGAAGGTTTGTCCTTGTAAAACTTTGTATCTCCAAAACTGACCGGTTATCTTGACTCATCATTTTTTTTTTAATTTAAACAATGCACTCAACACATTCTCTTATTTAGGAGTGTGTGGATAAAGATGAAAAATATGACGAAATGCGACCTGCTTTACGTGCCAAGAGAAGACTTATTTCAACTACAAAGCTCATCCAGCTGGTTTTTCGACCCCCACCATCAACTGTCCTTTCAGTAGATGCTAGTGTGGAATATGAGATAGTGACATACTCTACTACCAAGTTAGCTTTATCTGATGCATGCAGTTTGGCCAATAGAACATGGATTGATTGTAACACGTCTCAAGAATTTGTTAACATGTAAGTTTCAGTATCTATGTTATATCAAGGATGTTTTAGTTAATATTTCCTTTTAATCTGTCATAGTTATTTAGCTCTTCTCTGAACTATAGTATCTTCAAATTTCATGAAATATTAAGCATTGCTGCCAGGAACAGAAATGGTAGGATGGCTGATTGCCTTTCTGACAAAGCTACTGAACTATTTAAGCGCACCAAAGAGTTGGAAACTCATATGGAGAGGTAAGAAAAGGTCTTCTGTTCTTGCTGTGGTGGACCAATTCTGTGTGTGTACTAGCCTACTTGGAGTTTTGGTAGGCATTCATTGTTCATGACTTAACCAGATTTGGTTACAATACAGTTTTGTCCTGTAGTTTTTTTTTTAAAAAAAAAATCTGTTTGTGGAGTGAAAATTAATTCAGCAATGTGGTTCTTTAGTAAGTTGTAATTTCAAAATTTCTGATTTGCTATATTAATTGTCACAGATTGATCAAGGGTATCTCAGTTGTGGATATCCTGGTACAGTGCCAGGAGCTGGAGAAGTTTTGCCACACTAACCATTATGCAAGATACCATAGTCGTGTACCAGACCCAGTGGCAGCTAATTCAGAATCTTCCCCAAGTGTGGCATCTATCAAACCATTCCTTCAGAGATATGTTAGTGCAGTTCACTTACCCCTGAAATTACCAGAAGGGGTACAATGTCTTCCACTTTGATACAAGTTTTTACTCACTCATTCGCCCTCGGTATATAATTTCTATCCTGTCAAGCCTTCTCATAATCATGGTTGACATTGTAATGTCCTTGACTCCTTGCACTTATAAAGAAAATCTAGGAGACCAACTCAAGAAAAATGCTTGGATCCATGAGTTACTTCATATAAACAAGGAATGTGCTGCCCTTTTGGAGACCGGTCGTCAATTTTTGACAGTATATATGTCTTATGTATATCTTTTTAATTTGTAGAAACTAGGAAGAACTCAGATGTAACCTCGTCTTTTGTCACAAGTACGGATGTTATAAACTCAGCTCTGTCTAGATCTTCCAAAGGTAACTTAAAACTATGTAAAGTTATTTATGTCATCAGTATCTTCATAATCAGATTAACTGTTGTCCTCTGCTCAATTCTCTCTTTACCATATTTACTCAGGGGCTATCAAATTCACCCCTAAAATCACACACTTTCTCGTTTATTCCATCTAACATTGTCTTCTTTTGAAGGTACAGGAACCGAAACATGGTATTGAAACATACCTTTGAAAAAAATTGCCCATGCTTAATTATATCAGTTATTTTGGCGGGGACAGTATTTGAAAATCAGTTAGAACCTTCTCATCTTGGACCCCCCTTTATCTCTTTAATTTTATTGAAAAGTACATGCAACAAAATATGAGTTAAGCAAAGATCCTGTGCCCTTTTGTAGTGATAAAAGGGTGGGGATCTCATAATAAAAAGGACAAATAACAGTTTTAATGTTGGGAAGTGGGCTATTTTTGTAGTAGTATGTAATAATAAAGCATAAAACACTTGACTTAGATCCTGTTTTTATTGTACTTGCTGTCTCTTTCTAATCTTGTATTTTGTCTGTTGCTAATTTTTATTGCTTTGATTGTTGTAGCACCTCACGTGAGAATCATTGTACTCTGAAAGTAAGTGAGTTGAGTTAAGTGTATCTAAATCTTAACTGAAAATGATGTAATAATAATGACAGACAAAAAGGTCTCTTTTATTATTATACCTGGTTTTTATGATTGGTAAAAGGAGCTTTCTAGCTGATGACAGCATATTCTCATTCTCCTTCACAATTAAAGAGAATATGTATCGTTGGTTCTTCTTTTGATTTGTCTTAACGTGCGGGGTATTTTATTTTATTTATTTATTTTTTTTTTGAAAAAGGTAAGGTACATGGTTAATAATCCATCTATCATAGGGAAGGATCATTAGAATATAAAAGTCTCCCTATTAGAAGAAAGACTAATAGATTTGAAGAAAAGAAAAATGAAAACTAAGACTTAAAAAAAAAAATAAAAAAAAATAAATAAATAAAAAAGCTTCTCAAGGAAGCTAATACAAGGCTTCTTAAATAAGCTAACCAAAAATAGGAATCTAAACTACCACATCTACAATCGCTGATGACAAGACAACCACGACCAAGATCGGTGGCGAGGCAGTAACCTAGCATCTTAGGCAATTAGAAGTAGATGCATGCAGTTAGCGCCTAGCGGCAAGTGTCGAGGCTCGACTTAAAATCGGACAAATCGAGGGGAGCATTTGATCTCAATGGAGGACCGATAATCGAAACATAAATCGTCAGCGACATTGATTAGGATGGTCAAGAGCAAGATCTAAAAAAGCTTGCTAAATTATGAAATTCCTTGACCATCGAAGAACGATGACGGTGATGAGACACCAGAGTTAGATCATCTTCAAGCGAACATGCTAAATTTCCCAATTCAACATAAAATTAAAATAAATAAAATAAAATTGATACAAACATAAATTGGAAAAAATCAAAAATCAAAAAATCAAAAATCAAAAATCAAAATACATGGACTAGATAAGTGTCAAAAATTAGATTTCTCAAAAATTCTAAAAAGAATTGGCCATTAATGGCCAAAAAACAAAATCAGTAGCAAGTACTAAAATAAAGTCATAACCAAATTGTCATATACATCATAGATGTAAGAGTCAAGGCCTTAAGCTATTCACAAGCAAGAAATTCTTGCTTAATTTCATAACACAGGGTTTGTAAAAACAACAATGGCAAGAAATGATAGGCGACGGAAGAAATTACAATTTACAAATACCAAAGCAAGATCTAAGGAAAGAGAAGCAAGGGAGAGGCATGCATAGGAGAGAAGCTAAGAAAAGATTTCTTACTAAAGAGTATCTCTCTCTATGTGAGGGGGTCGATGGCGCCTGCACTAATGCCTGTACGTTTGTTGATGTTTGGAACCCCTTGTAGGCCCACGTTCATTAAATATGGAAATTACCAAAATACCCTCATTTGAACCCTAAAACAAGAATATTCAAGAATTGGGCATAGCACACATCTTGAGAAACCCTAACACGGCCCAACAGTTTCTAATACGACCCAGAAAGGCTAGATTCCCCAATCCAAACCCTTATCAATCAGTTAGAGGGGCTTTCTTAGGAACACCCCCCCGAGGCATTTGACTTTCTCTATATTGCAGGACTCGCTTTGACCAGATGAGCAGGATCTATCCATAACAAGTCAGATCTCGACATTCTCTTGCAAAAACAATTGGCGTCGTATGTGGGGATACATCAAACAAAAAGCCATGGTAACCACTCGTCGAACCCATCTCTCTTAGAATGTGGGAAGAATTGCACTCAAGGTCAATCATTCCCTCCTTGTTAGCCATTGAATAATCCGCAATCCAACCGTGAAGATCAAAGTGACAACTGGGAAGTTGAACAACCCGTGACCATATAAGATTTGGAAAAGCTAACCGAACAGTTCAACACAACTCTCCAAGACACCTTTAAACGGTTGACGGAAGCTATGAAGAACAACCAAACGAGGCCCTCTAACCGGTCGCTGGAAAAATCAAGAACACTAATTTTCATAGAACAATCAGAGGGAACAACACTATGATGTTCCCCGCCGAATTGGAGGCAAAGCCGTAGGGCACAAACCTTCTGTGCAACTAGGTTCGTTCACAATTGATCCGAAAACTATTGCGATCCCCTCACAATCAAATGTCATATCACAAGTCCACATAGAGCCCAGCTAGCACTCTATTGCAAGTCGATGCTAGAGGGAAGGTGAACTGGCCAATCGGGTCAGAGACCCGGATGCTTGGCAAATCATTGATGAGATGCGCTTGCAACGACGTGAGATGGACACTTGAGAGCTCATCAGCAGGCTTCGGGTAATAGTACAATGTCGAGCCCATGAAAATGGTGATGATCAAGCACGAAGTTGTAGGTAAAGCAGGAGCCCTAGGTCGCCTAATCACCTATTGCCCTCTTAGTGGGAAGACGTAGGAGAATCATAAGATCCACCGAGACAAGGCAGGTCAGAGTGGGATCCTATATCTCGCTACATAAGCCATACAACTCGAGATGAAGGAGGAAATCGAGACTAAGATGAGCTGCTGATATGGTGGCCCTCACATCAATCTACACCATTGACCCATATCATTCAGGTTCTAATGAATGCCTAAAGGTGAACATGGTTAAGATGCCCACCATAGAACCTTTTGCCAAAACAACTAATCCAAATGAGCATCTAACCGCATATGCCACTCAGCTTAGTGTACAAACAAGCTGTAAGGCTACATGGTGCACATAATTCCCCACCACACTGAAAGGACAAGCCCTCATGTGGTTCCATGAATGTGTGCCCAAGGGTAGTATCCAAAGCTACCAAGACTTGGAACGCGTGTTCGTTAGCGGTTCCATTCAAACACGCGACAAGACAAAAAAACAAGTGTCAATCTAATGGTTGTGACCAAAGAAAGACGGAGACCTTGCAAAACTATATATGAAGGTTTAACCATGAATCATTTCCCTTTTGGAGACCGTTCTAACAGCCTTCCTGGCTGGATTAAGTTCCACGTATTTCAAATTCAAATTGATCGAGTCAGAGGTGTCAACCCTAACTGAAGCAATGGAATGGGCACACAAGAATATCCAAGCCTCAGAGGTATATGGAACAAATTTCGAGAACTCGTCAGATAAGAAGCGGAAACATGAAGATGAGCCCTCAAAGAATCTACCATCCAAACGGTCCAACTAGATCACTAATCATGGTAACGACCCATGGTACAACTGTAAACGTCGTGAGTCCTATTTGGATATCAAAGAGAAGTATACAACCATAATTGAAGAAAGGGAATACAACCAATCCAGCAATGGTGCCAAAATTTGATACGGGTTGTGAACCACACCAAATTAATTAATTTAATAACTAACTTAATATTAACAACTAGTAAAAAGGTAAGCAAGAGCCAATCCCACAAGGTATTACTAATTAAATTCAAAATCAACTCCGTTAAAGCTTTATACATAAAAGAATAATGTAGACACCTACTTTTATCCTCTTGTCCCGACAGGAAGTGCGACGATGTTACAAAAACTCGTTCTTCATACTAGATCAAAGTTAAAGTGTTTATGGACTCTGAAATGCATTACGAAGTAAGTTAAAACCCGTATTTGAGACCAAATTATCTTAGAACCTAGTCCGATTAATAATTAGGCCTAAAACATGCTCATACATGTTTAAACTTGATTAATAACGAACCTAAATGCGTCAAATGCAATGATTGGATCAAATAGATTTACATTGTAGAAAACCGAGCCAACCAGAACATTTAACCACCCAATATACATTCAAGTCCTATACATATGGATATCCCTTTCAAATAGATTTCCAATGGTATTTTATAAGCCCGATTCTGAGTTAAAACGAAGAAGTTATCATCAAAATACTAAACCGATCCCTAAAACCGACACCCTTGCACTCAAACGGCCATATCTTTTGATCCATAACAGATTTTAACCTAATTCCAACGGCACTGGAAATTAGGCATTTATAGATTTCCAATGATATCTTATTTTCCTTAATCAAACTTTCCAATCAAAATTTATGGAAGTTTTAAAAACGCATTTTCGTATAAGGCAAGCCGCACCGCGCGAAACTCTCAAAGTTGCCCGCGCCTACCGAGCGCAAGTCATAAAGTTGTGCTGGGCACTGCAGCGCGACTCTGAGAGTTGCGCGCGCCACATAAAGCCACGGCTCTAAAACCCTTAACCTAGATTCATACGCCTATAAATAGGGGTCTTCGCTTAGCCCTAAACAGAACAGAAAATTCAGAAATTGAAACCCTAAATTCTGAAATCCCCAATCTCTCAAACTCTCTTACTATCATACTACTTTTCTCCTTTCTTCCTAAATAATCTTAAACCCTAATCCATCCATTTGAAGTCCTTGGAGGTACGAAGAAGAAAGAAGGTCCATAAACATATAAAGCGGAGATTTAAGCAAGCAAAGGAGAATAGTTAGTTTCATGAACACTTAGATAAATCACTTTTCTTTTCTTGTTTAAATAACTTTAATTGATTAATTAGTGTTG